TTACCTATGTCATTATCAGAGTTATAGTCATCATTTATATCCATAGACATCATCGTCTTGTATTTGATTATTATTGTTTATCCGTTTAATTAACATTGGTTGACATTATTTATCCGTTGAAGAAGGATCGACTTCCATTCAAACGAAATTCTGTTCTTGGAATTGTTTTTATAAACTTCTTTATTTTTGCATAAATATTTGTTTGGTTTTTAATTAAATAAGGTCTTCTCTTGTTTCCTTTGTTTTGCTTTTTGTGCTTATTAGCTTTGGCGTGTGAAACTGAGACTTGAAATAAAGGAATTTAGGGCGTCCTAGGGGAAAATATTCCAGACAAAAAGCAAGGGAACTGGTGAAGATTTGTGGCTCTTTCCGAAACCTAGGTATTTCCTGATTTACCCCATGGTATTAAACATTGGCTTAATTTTTAATCAATATTATTTTATTATAAATTACAATTAAACAGACAATTAAAACAGTCTGAAATATTTATTATTTTCAAATTTCATAATTTTTTAAATTTATTTTCTATCGCTTTTTAAATATTTTTTTATTTATTATATACAGGGCTGTCACAGAAACCATGTCGGTTTTGCTTATTGTCGTTTTTGTAAACCAATGTTGGTTTCATTTGGTGTCATGAAACCAAGTTGGTTTTGTCAATTTCGAATGTAAATAAAACCAATGTTCGAAACATCCTTAAAAAATCCACGTTTATGGTCCTTTAAAAAATCCTTAAGAAATCCACGCTTATGGTCCTTTAAATATCCTTTAAAAAATCCACGTTTATAGTCCTTTAAAAAATCCTTAAAAAATCCACGTTTATGGTCCTTTAAAAAATCCTTAAGAAATCCACGCTTATGGTCCTTTAAATATCCTTTAAAAAATCCACGTTTATAGTCCTTTAAAAAATCCTTAAAAAATCCACGTTTATAGTCCTTTAAAAAATCTTTAAAAAATCCACGTTTATAGTCCTTTAAAAAATCTTTAAAAAATCCACGTTTATAGTCCTTTAATTTTTTTTTAAATCCACGTCTATAGTCCTTTAAAAATTCTTTAAAAAATCCACGTTTATTGTCCTTTGAATGTCCTTTAAAAATTCTTTAAAAAATCCACATTTTTAGTCCTTTGAATATCCTTTAAAAATTGTTTAAAAAATCCAAAGCAAATGAAAAGTGACAGCTCTAACAAAACCAATAACATTGGCTTCTATTACAACCAAAACCGATAAAATTCTAATTCGAAAATAAAACCGACAACATTGATTTTCATGACACCAAATCATTTTTTCTTGTCGTTTTTAAAACCAATAGTGACAAAATTGGTTTCTATGACAAAATAATAAAAATGATTATATTTATTCATTTAATGTTTCTTCTGTTAGCAGTAAATTTGTTTGTATGTTATATCCATAATTTTTCTATTGCCCCAAATGTCGAATTAGACAAGGTATCTACTGAGTTATATGTCCACGTTTGATTCTTGTGGTTGTTGATTATACTATGTCATTAATATATTTCAGGTCTCTAATAATTAGGTTTTTTACCGAAATCTTCAAAAAACACTCAAGCTAAGATATCGACTATATGTAGAGTCATGGGAAAGTAGCCAACCTCAAAGTCAAGATATTAAGTAAATGAAAATAGTTGAAACTATAGAAATCAGGACAAATCAAACGGATGTTACAAAAATTATAAACATTATCCTAAATAACAAAAAAATAAAAAAGATAAAAATAACCCGGTACAAAATAATCACAGACAGAACACCCCAAATAGAATTCAGACAATATAGCGAGAATCAATTTTAGCAAGTTCGGAACGAGCTCATGCAAATTAACAATATTCAAACAGATATGAGCAACCTCGAATTGACAAGAAACTCAACCCTAAAATAAGCTAATATCCCTTAATTTCGTAATAGAACTTTTAATAAGTTCCCGATTATTAGAAGTTTCACTTAATTTGTCCCAATTTTTTCAAACTATAAACATGGCCATAGACAAAGCCTAACAACTCCAAGAAAAGTAGGAACACAAAATTATATTATATTATATTATTAAATAGGACAGTTACATGGTTTTTTCGATTTTTAGGAATTAGTCTATGCAGCAGTTCTGGATGCCAAAATAAACTTCATTACCCCAAATTTATTTGTTTCAGAATCAAGAGTATTTCCAATTAAGAAACTGTTTCTGCTTGTTTCGAAAGCTTCGCAAATGAAAACTATGGATTGAGAAACTTCACTGCTCACGCTCACACCCTTTGTAGATGTAGTATATATATTCAAACGCGTTTCACTTTAAACTAGAAACTTCAGTAAGATTGGCTTATATGGTTATGCTACTTCGTTCAGGTTGAACGAAAGCATAACAAGTGGAGAAAGATGAAAATTTTTATAAGTGCGGTTGTAAGATTTAGAAGATTTTCCAAAAGAATTTTAGTTTTATTTAATTCTTTGGTTCCTCTTCTATTGAGCTTACGATCTCGTCACTTGGGTAAAAAAATGTTTTTTGTCATAGAAGTTATTTTTAAAATAACTTCTGGGGAGAATATCCCAGACAAAAAACAAGGCAACTGATGAGGATTGGTGGCTCTTTCCGAAACCTAGGTATTCCCTGCATTACCCCCTGGTAAACATTACCATCGTTCTCCACTAATAAACAAACGTTGTTCTTACAAAAACAACAATAAAGGGATAAAGCCTGACCATTTTGCAACAACAAAATACTACGGTATCCCGAACAAACAAGCCACACTGTTCTATTAATAGACAAGGCACGGTCGACGAAGGGGTTTTTGTTGTAACACACAAAACCAACTTACATGGTCATGCTACTTCGTTCAGGTTGAACGAAAGCATAACAAGTGGAGAAAGATGAAAATGTTTATAAGTGCGGTTGTAAGATTTAGAAGATTTTCCAAAAGAATTTTAGTTTTATTTAATTCTTTGGTTCCTCTTCTATTGAGCTTACGATCTCGTCACTTGGGTAAAAAAATGTTTTTTGTCATAGAAGTTATTTTTAAAATAACTTCTGGGGAGAATATCCCAGACAAAAAACAAGGCAACTGATGAGGATTGGTGGCTCTTTCCGAAACCTAGGTATTCCCTGCATTACCCCCTGGTAAACATTACCATCGTTCTCCACTAATAAACAAACGTTGTTTTCAAAAAACAATACAGTGGTGGAGCCATTTTATGGTAGCAAAATATAGACTACAAATATTGTAATCCACTCCGAGCCTTAAATACCAAGTTTGACATAATTTCTTGGGGAAATGAGATTAGGATTATCTAAATAACGAATATCGGTACCGAACCGTCGTATGGAAACCGTTTACCAATATGGACAATGTTTTGACACTATTTGTAAAACCCATTACGAAGTACAAATACCAATTTTCACACAAATCTATTAGAAAATGTAGTTTAAATCGCCAAAATACCGAATATCCGAAGGTACCATTATTTGTGCACTAAACCGAATATAGGTAGATACCGTTATACAGTTGGTAGTATAGGTACATAACGTAGACCTATACTACCCACCCAATGTTTTGTCACCGAAGCTGGAACGAATCACAAAAAAGAAATAACATTTTTTAGATAATCCCGTGAAAAATGTAGCAAAAATCGTTAAAATACCTAATATTGGGAGGTATCGTTATATGGGAGCTATCCTATATAATACCAACCATTCTAGACACAATACAAACTACTGTGTCAAATTTTAAATTAATCTAGATTTAATTAAACTACTGACGAACGTTGTCAGATCGACTTAGAATTTATCGACTTATACCGTTTCTGGTCTATATAGCAACGATAACCCGATTTGTGTCTCGCAGAAACTCGCACAAACCAAGAAAATAGACAATGAAATTTGAAATTTCATGGATATGTCCTCGAGAAAATAGCCGTCTCCAAACCTACAAAATAATGATGCTGATAGTAATAAAACTGTCCACCGTGGTGGATCTAAAGAACGTTTTAATAGTAATAACTCATCCCACTCATAATTTGCTTGTGCTACCTCACACTAACTAAACACCCATTCATAGTCCCAATTCGCTATTTTCCCTATTTCAGCCTGACAACGTAATAATCTCTTGCCTAATATTATAATTGTTCCAGGACACATGTCTCAATATTTCATCGTTGCTCTTTATACCTTATACCGACAGATCAGGGGAATGCTGCTTTATTTCACCAGAGGCGCACAAAATAGAAAAGACATAAAGACACATATTCTTCATCATTCCATATCTTTGTACACTACTCCATTCTGTGTACATAAATGTCGTTTTTTCTTTTATTTCTCCTTGCATTTGTTGTTCTCCACTTCCGTTTTGGTAAAAATGATTGAAGTCACTTTAAAATATAAGAATATTGAACGATTTGTAAGAGCAAGTTCCTTGCGTAAACAAAAGAGAGAAAGCTATAACATTAAATTTTTAGGTATGTAACGTTTTGAAAAATTATTAACTGTTAATGGAATTTGTAGTATCCTTAGAGGTCATAAGTGTCATTATCTAGTAAATATTGAAGAAATCTGGATTAAGTAAGAAACACATCAAAAGTGATAATTTTTAATTTCGTCTGTATTCTCTAGCGCTTACAGATATTTTTTTTTGCGGATTTAAAATTTTCATTATTATTTCAGAGGTTTAACCTTATGCTTTTCCTGTGGTAGCTCTCAGCTTCAGTATTTGGAGAGGCTCTACTACATTTGAACCGAAATTGTTTGAAATTAAGAATTTAAGGTCTCCAATTAGGTAAATGACGAGTATATGTGTATCTTTTTGGTATAGAACTTGTTATGTACTCAAAGTTCGTGGACGGTACTCAAAGTTCGGTCCGGGCGAACAGAACGCTTTTTTATTTGTTTTACACTTATTTATTAAACAGTGTTGTTTAATAAAGAAAAAGTAACTCTGTAACTTTATACAAATATAAGTTGAAAAACTGATGAGTGCAAGAATGTGTATTTTAATGTTACCTACCTAATATCACCCTTTTCAGTTATCCTGTGTACAGTGCCCGTTTTTTGCAGATGTTCCATCATGCGTGGATTCCAGCCGCCATGTCCCTGCTGCAATTTTATTAGAACATCAATATCCACACATACCTTTACCCGATCCCCGACAGAGAATATTGGCTTGACTGTCGAAACAACAGGTTGTTGCTCATCTAATTGACCTGAATTAAAAATAGGATGAAATGTTTATAAAATATATTAAAACAAATAACATTTGAAATGGAACAATAATTTTAAAATATATATGTATTCGATGAAAGCCAATTTTTAGCGAACAATGACGATTAAAAAGTTATTTATAGTACTTGCAGATCTCGCTCTGAGAACAGTCAGGTGTAATATTTCGTTGGAAGACATAATCTAGCGCCTTCCTTTCCTGAGTAAAGAATTGTTGGACTATTATGTATTTGAGTTAAATAGAGTAAGTAGAATTTGGCGGCTATTCCGCACATAGATTTCAATTTGCTTGACTATTTTCAATGTGTAACTAAGTACTATAGTTCAGCAAAGACAAATAACAATGCAAGGGCAAATCATGAAATTATAAACTCTTCCACATTTTAATGTATGTGAAGAAATTTTACATTTGGCTTAATCATTCATCAAATCAAAAATGTTTTCGATTAAAGCGCCTCATTGAAAACTCTTTCCCTCAAATATTTCAACACAGAAAAAGAGCAACAGGCTTAAGCGACTGTTTTCGCCACAGTAAACTACAAAATGACAAATGTGAACATTTCAGGAAAATTGGTTCAGCCGTTTTATACACGAACACAAACATAATAATTTGAAGAAATATATCAAACATTTCTTTTTCACGATCTGACCGCAAAATATTATTTGACAGCAAATACAAAAACAGCTGATTTTGGGGAAATAGAAATTTGCCCAGTTTGCCCATAAAGTAAAATCTTATGATCATTTATTTTCCTCTTTCCTCAAACACCTATTTGACCTTACAAATGTTTTGTAAGGTCAAACAAGGGAAAATATTAGTTGAAAACCCTGGCGCAGCATTTTGCTTTAAAATGGGACGCTATGGAATTAAAAAGATGATAATATATAAAACGAAACATTTGTTACAATGCTATAAGTGGTTTTGATTTTTTTTTTTTTTTGAATTTATTAGCAAACAACACCAAACGGAATAGAAGGCCAGTATTTCTTTTCAAAATATATTTCTATATATATCTTTAATGGTATATTACAAATGGGTAAAAGTTTTCACACATGCGTTGTACAACTGAATTTGAATATGTAATAAACAAGAATACACACACAAACACAACTACCCACTACCAATTTTATTATAACTAACTCTTTTAATTTTTTGACTGTAACCCTTTTAGCCACGTTTACGAAGATCGCCGAGGCCTCGATTATAAGCGTGTGTGGTGGTACTGAAGGATGATATGTATGTGTCTTCACACATCTGTAAAAGTCTGTAAATAACTTTTAAAAATGTATTAGGTTTGAAAACGTTTGAATATGTATAGAAAAATCTTAGGTTTTGATTGCTATACTTATATTAAATAATAAATATTCGTTTTCCTTAAAATTACGTTGTAGATTAGATACTTTGCCGGAGTGAGGAATCGAACTCAGGGTCCTGTGTTGGCTCGCAAGATGCCAGACCGGCTTACCCTCTGGGCTATTGCCGCTGTTGGTGACGGTGGTTTAACTAAGATTTTTGTGGGCTATGGCGAGTATTTGTGCGGCCAAACTGTCTGTGATATTCAGGAATCAGAACGCCAGCTAGGTCTTATTTTTAGCACACGGGGTGGTTGGCTTGTTGTAGTTGTAGTTATATTGTGTTTTTTTGCAAATGCGATTTTTTTCTTCTATTTAACTCCACAATTCCGAAAAAGTGCAAAGTGTTATAATGCGTTTACTCGCAATTCAAGAATAGCAGTAGACAATTTCCAACTATTTTATTCTATCAATTTCAAGGAATCACTGTGCTGATGGTTAGTTTTAGAAATTTGCCCAGTTTGCCCATAAAGTAAAATCTTATGATCATTTATTTTCCTCTTTCCTCAAACACCTATTTGACCTTACAAATGTTTTGTAAGGTCAAACAAGGGAAAATATTAGTTGAAAACCCTGGCGCAGCATTTTGCTTTAAAATGGGACGCTATGGAATTAAAAAGATGATAATATATAAAACGAAACATTTGTTACAATGCTATAAGTGGTTTTGATTTTTTTTTTTTTGAATTTATTAGCAAACAACACCAAACGGAATAGAAGGCCAGTATTTCTTTTCAAAATATATTTCTATATATATCTTTAATGGTATATTACAAATGGGTAAAAGTTTTCACACATGCGTTGTACAACTGAATTTGAATATGTAATAAACAAGAATACACACACAAACACAACTACCCACTACCAATTTTATTATAACTAACTCTTTTAATTTTTTGACTGTAACCCTTTTAGCCACGTTTACGAAGATCGCCGAGGCCTCGATTATAAGCGTGTGTGGTGGTACTGAAGGATGATATGTATGTGTCTTCACACATCTGTAAAAAAAGTCTGTAAATAACTTTTAAAAATGTATTAGGTTTGAAAACGTTTGAATATGTATAGAAAAATCTTAGGTTTTGATTGCTATACTTATATTAAATAATAAATATTCGTTTTCCTTAAAATTACGTTGTAGATTAGATACTTTGCCGGAGTGAGGAATCGAACTCAGGGTCCTGTGTTGGCTCGCAAGATGCCAGACCGGCTTACCCTCTGGGCTATTGCCGCTTTTGGTGACGGTGGTTTAACTAAGATTTTTGTGGGCTATGGCGAGTATTTGTGCGGCCAAACTGTCTGTGATATTCAGGAATCAGAACGCCAGCTAGGTCTTATTTTTAGCACACGGGGTGGTTGGCTTGTTGTAGTTGTAGTTATATTGTGTTTTTTTGCAAATGCGAATTTTTTCTTCTATTTAACTCCACAATTCCGAAAAAGTGCAAAGTGTTATAATGCGTTTACTCGCAATTCAAGAATAGCTGTAGACAATTTCCAACTATTTTATTCTATCAATTTCAAGGAATCACTGTGCTGATGGTTAGTTTTTGCACAATTTATTTATTTATTTTACCTTCCCGGATAAAAAATTAATTAAATTACGGCTCAAGGAACGAGTTGCCGCAGACGAGGAAATTGTTGAGGATCAAGATTGTAAAAAAAGAGAATCTTGTAACACCATTGGATTCCAATCAATATTGTCAATTCTTACCTTAATGTTTGGCAAAACATTTAATTAAGGTTCCACATTTATGGAAGTCAGGTATTGAACGTTTTATTTTCTGTTCCTTTTTTTCTAAACAAGCGAAGCCTTTGGTGAGCATATATTTACTTTACCAAAGAGATAAATATTTCAGAATAAAAAATACATTGGTTTTGAGACTAATAATTCACTTTTGTTTTGAAAAATTTGATTCAGAGATAAATTATAAGCTGCTCACGAATACGTTTCAACTCTTGATGCATATCAATGTGGCTGGTTCAGGAAAGCAAAAGAAAGATCCACTCTACATGTTAACTGTAATACATGCAAATGTGTACTAAAAAGTCTCAAAAAACTGTAGGATTAAAAAAAGTGGGATCCTCCGAGGATCTGAACCACCATTCTCATATCTCAGAAGCCGACATGTTACCTCCGTACTACACCCGTTGTTGTGGGTGGAGTGGCTAGCTTTCTGCTTTCGTCGATTAGGAAGTGATTGATGATTTGTTTGAACAATCATCCGGTCTCTGCAATAAGAGGAGGCGGAAAAAAGAAGAAGGAAAATCCGAAACAAGACAAGAATGTTGTTATTTTTTTGGTATCCCAGAAAATACAATTTGTGGTTAAAAGAAAAATAAAATAAAATTATGTCGACATAATTTACCACTAAACCAAGTGATATCGATCAATTTATTACGATATTAATTGGAATTTAAGAGTTAATTATGGTCTAATGTCTTTAGCATGATAAGTTCCTATGAACTTGCCATTTAGATCCTCTTATTCGAAATAAACAGTATCAACCTTTTTCTAAACATTTGCCGGTAAAAAGATGGTGCTAATTTGGCATTAAACTTTTTTTCTGCACAATTTTTTTCCCTTTTGTAAAGGATAGTGGCCTTAAACGTAAATTTTACTGTACTCTATTTATATAATTTGCCTTTGAAATGTTAGTTTTAATATATTTTTTTAAATTGAAGCTAATCCTCTCTATGAAGTATACAATCTGGTTCATCGAGTAGATTAAGGGATCCCAAAGGTTGCAAAATAAGGAGAAAACTTAACAGGCTCGAGTGTTAGCTATTTTTGAGCGATTTACTCGTTTACTTGGCCTGTAAGTCCTGTAAGGGTCCAGCTGAGATTTTTTTTTAAAGATCACAGCCAGTGATATTTTGTGAGATAGTCAAGGACTATAAAAATGCCATTTTTCGACAACAGGTCGAAACGGCCCTCAAATGTCTATGTATAACCTTTGAAAAGGTCTGGTTATGTTTAAAGATTTTCCCATTTTGGGCTTAAGAATGACATTGGGATGTTTCGTGGTTTTACATGTCTCCAATTGCAGACATATCCACGGAATTCCTTCACCATGCCTGGCCAAAGAAATGCCTACTTATCAGATCTAATGTTTTTCCTATTCCACCATGTGTGGCCACAGGGGAATTGTGAAATCTAGTGATCAATTTACTTCTACATTTTTCTGGGATCCAAAGCTTCCAGGCTAGTCATTCGTTCTTTTTGAACGATTCCTCATTTACTAAGTTCTCTCGCATTTGAACGAGTTTTCTCAACTTAGCTATAGTAAAAAAATTGGCACGTATAGCAATTCGTGTCGAATTTCAGTTCACAAATTGCGTATACAAAATTACAACTAATTCTTCTTCTGAAATGGAATGACGTAAACGATCTGCTTTAGAAGAAATCGAGTCGTTGAAAGAATCAAATGAATCATTAGACCTTATCTTTCGATTTCTTATCATCTCTATTAGATCAAAAACGGATTTTAAACCTTTGAATTGTGAACGGAGAGTTTCACAAAATTCGGTCCATTGAATTATATCAATACTTTTACGGTATCGCCAATGACATTTTTTGGCTTTTCCGGTTAAAAGATTTTTGCATACATATGCAAAATTATTATTTAAGTGTTCTTTGGTTAAGGTTTTCACCCGATATAAAAATTCATCCACTGACGAACCATAGTTAGAATCGTCAAATTGTATGTGCCAGTTTTTGGAGAATGAGAGGTATTCGTCTGGTCGCAATAATTGGAAATATTCTTCATTGGATGAAAAATTATATTACATTTGAATTGGTAACGTGAGATTGAGCATTGAAATTTCGAGTAGGATTATTGGTTATTAAATTAACTTTTTGGAGACTACTTGAGATTGGTTTTGTTGCTGGTTACCTAAATTGAAGTTTTGAAAGATTTTCGCAATACCACGTTCAATCATCTGATTGATGTGAGTTTAGCCAATCTCATTCGTCTTAATATTTTCTGATGGATTTAAATTCCTTTCAGGATTACCTTGCAATTGGGAAATCGGGTATCGTTGTGGAGAATTGAGGTAAACATTGGAGTTATTAGAAAGAGTTTGAGAATTATTTCCAACATCAGTCAAGTTATTTGAAGGACATTCAAAATCTTGACTTGTAATAAAAATTTTCACTGTATAATGTTCTGGTAAAATTTCGGGTAATTGGGCTTTTAGTGCTGTACAACGATATGTAGAACGACCTTTCTTTTTAGCACCTGTCTGGGTTGACATTTCGGTGAATTCTAAACTTATGATATGATATTTTTTCGATATTTAAGATTTACCAGTTCACAGGTCATGTTGAATGGCGGACATTTGGAAGAATTTGATGAAAGATATGAGATTCAAAGAATAATACAGATGAACTGCTTGTGATCATTTTCCCAAACAAATTTGGTAATTAGAAACAATTTGTGAAAATTAAATTTATTACAATACTTACTGATGTCAATGAGGTAGATATAGGTAACCAAATAAATAAATGTATTGATATACTGAGGGTTGATTCTGGAAGAACAATATGAGTTATTGGGCTCTATTTTTTACATAACCGACATTTTATGAACAAACTGTCATACTTTCTCTTTAGCAAAACTGACATGTCTGGACGTTGATTCGCAATTAGCAAACTTAACGACAATCCAAGAAATGTTCAGGATGACGATATTTATGTCGACAATAAAAAAAGAATTATGTCAAAAGTATTTAACAACATATAAAAGCTGAAAATGTTATTAAAAGATTTCTCGGTCAGTTTTTTCAAAACTCTCAAAAATGTGAAAATCTAGAGAACTTAAACATGTATTCTACCTACTGCATCCTGTCTTAATATCCTGTTATAAAAGCTTATTGCATATTGAAATCTAAATTTTAATTTATAATGAAAAGCTGATTGGAAAAATCATTACATAAGATCAATACAAATATGTCATTGTAAATCTTAAATGATTTACCATCTTACAAAAAACCCTTGAAGAATTTACAACTCTATGCTTAGGGTGATAAGGATGTTATCCTGTAAATGATATGCTCATGTCTTAAAATATTTGATTCGTTTGATTCATTCTATTCTATTATTGGACTCAATGTCGAACCATGGTCTCAAGGGATATTTAAATTACTTTGTGGATTAGATAAATTGCGGGAGCGGGGAATCGAACTCAGGTGCCTGTGTTGGCTCGCAAGATGCCAGACCGGCTTGCACCCTGCGCTATTGCCGCTTTTGGTGATATTGGTTTGTGGCTTTGGTGGGCTATGATGAGTATTTGTGTGGCCAAGCTGTCTGTGATCCTCAGCCATTTTGCAAATGCGATTTTTTTTCTTTTTTTTTCCCACAAATCTGGGAAATGCAAAATATTATAATTTGGAGAGAGTCTTCAGCTTAAGCAATTATAAACTCGTTATAGCGGATGTAGGATACAGAACTTCTTTCAAAAATGGCGCATAACGATTTTATTACAATTTTATCTACAACGAGTTGAAAAACAGTAATGACATCGGACTTTAAACAATATTACTTGCAATTCAAGAATAGCTCTAGACAATTTCCAACAATTTTATTCTCTCAAATTCAAGGCATCACTGTGCTGATGGTTATTTTTTGCACAATTTATTTATTTTTCCTTCCCGGATAAAACAATTAACTCGTTCCTTGAGCCGTAGATGAGGAAATTGTTGGGGATCGAGTTTGGATAAAAGAGAAACTTGTAACACCATGGGATTCCACTTAATATTGTCAATTAATGTTTTGCAAAATACCTAATTAAGGGTACGAATTTATGGAAGTCAGATATTGAATGTTTTATTTTCTATTTCTTTTTTTTATGTAAAAGTGGTGAAACCTTTGGTTAGCAAATATTAACTTTATTAAAGAAATAAATATTTCAGAACAAAAATACCTTCGTTTTGAGACAGTTTAGAATGTTTTGAATTAAATATTAATTCAAATGTTTTAAAAAGAATAAGTTTTTTTCACAATCAATCGGGACTTAATTTCACTGTTGTTTCGAATAATTTCATTCAGAGAAAAAATATAAGCTGGTCGCGAATACGTTTCAACTCTTGATGTGTGTTTATGTGATTGTTTCAGGAAAGCTCATGATCCACATTACAGGAGTAACGATCTTATTATTTGGCTATTTATCTTCCCATATTCTGACCTGGACATGCTCTTGAATACATGGAAAATGTTTATTAAAATGTCTCAAAACAATTCTGTAGGATTACAAAATAAAAAAAGTGCGATCCTCCGTCCTCATGTCTCAGAGGCCGACATGCTACATCGTTGTTGTGGGTGGAGTGGCTAACTTTGAGGTTTCATCGATTAGGTAGTGATTAATGGTGCGATTTGGAATACCCTCTTGTCTCGCACTTACGATTTAAATGACAATTTTATTGATATCTGCATCCCGAAAAAAAAAAACTATTTAATGAGTTTCTGTGCCACCATGGAACTCTATAGGTTTTACAAAAGCTAAAAATGTGAAAAATAAACAATATAAGAAGACAGGATCTGCTATTGACTACGAAAGATATTCTGTAGCACGCTCTGAATATACTACTTTAAATATTATTAGATATTCAAATTACACCATCAAACTTAAGAAACAACTTTAAACAGAATCCGGTTCTTTCCACAAATTTGTCGATTCGAAACGCAAATCCAGTGATTTTCCACTAAATTTAAAGTACTACAATTAAATCCTGTGATAAGAATGTTATTACTAACTTATTTGCAGATTTCTTCAGTACAACATATTCTGCTAAAACAAATCAATCAATATCAATTGCACTGTTGAACAGCACTATGGTTTAAAATGGATTGAAACATTTTTAGTATGGCTAAGAAAGCAAACCAATGCAATTTACACAGACTTCAGCAAGATATTCGATAAAGTCATAAACTATTACGATCAAAATTTAAAAACATTGGATTTACAAACAGAAGTTCCAATTGGATTTCACCACATCTACAAAATAGAACACAAAAAGTATGTTTTAAAAATGACATTTCGGAGAGTATTATAGTTTCTTCTGGAGTCCCACAAGGAAGTCATCTAGCACCACTCCTGTTTTCTTTAAAAAAAAATTTTCAAATATTTTGATGTGAAAATATTTTTTAACTTTTTGGAGATATGTAGAAACCAGTTGCTTCAAAATGATAGAATTCGTTTGGTAACTGGTGCAATATTAATTTTATGGAAATTAATTATTCGAAATACAAACTTATGAGATTCAAAAGAAAAAAAATATTGGATACTTGTTACACACTCGGTGACTATTCTCTGGAAATAGTTACTATTCTTTTATCTTGGAGACGTATTGTATTGTAATCTTAACTTCAATTCTCATATTTCAGTTTCTATAAACAAAGCAATATCAGTTATCGGTTTTGTGAAACTTTGGAGTAAGCAGTTTAAGAATTATGTTACATAAAACCCTTATGTTACAAAAATTTATACATGCCAATTGTTCGTACTTTTCGGTCATGTGGACTCTTTTTATAAAACACAGCGACCGCTTCGACTCTGTTCAAAAACAATTCCTGCTTACAAAACAAGTTCTGCTTATGATGAACTTCTCATACGATAATCTTCCACCATACAATGATAGACGATCGCTGATCAAGCTGCCAACTCTGAAAAGCCGTAGAAAAATGCTAAATGTCTCAATTCTTTATTATGGGTGATATTTCAGTTGGCTTTCTTGTTAACATCAACTTTAATGATCCTCAACGTACCACCCGCCACTACGAATAATTCTCCAGAATGAGCTATGCAAATGCTGATAGATTTAAAGGAATGTCAAAAGATTTTAACAAATTATATAATTATATTGATCTTGCAATGGATTTTAATACTCTAAAAAGTAAATTAATAATGTTACTTAATTCCTAATTTTAATGATATAATTATAATTTATTTATTAGTCTGTAAGAAATTATTCATAGACTCATTAAATAAGTAAATAAAATAATTTCATGCTAACATATGATTTAATATATCATAATATTTCGATGACAATATCAAACTTTCAAAATTAAGAATGAATATCACCTCCTACAAAATGTACACACAACTTGTATTCTGTGGCAAAAGTATAATAGAGTTTACGGTTTGAGACCCAACCTTTAATACACTATGTAAAGAACATAAAATAACACGCGGTTCATAGAATAGAAAAAAATAACTTCTCTTTTACCGGCAATATTTGAAAATAACAGTTGCATCTTTACCTAAAATTCGACGTGATCGGTCGACGTACTCCACCACACAAAAAATTTTACCATTGTTGGGAAGTTGAATATAGATATACGCTACGGCGAATTTTAGGTAACACTGTTAGTTCGAATATAATAAAAGGATTGTAATTAGCACACCTTACCTGTCTCTGTTCTAGAATCTGCAAGAATCCACTAATTTTGCAATTGCTTTTTAATTTCATGAAATATTTTTCTTTTATGGTAGAAAAAATCTATTACATTCTTGTGGTTCTGGTCATGATTTTTATTCTATTTCTATTGAAATCATAAACTTACCCAAAACTGGCATGTGGTCTTTGTAGTAATAGCCGCCTGTAGTTGCAACAACATATTTCAAATCAACATTACCCTTGTGTCCCAAGCGGTAAACATTTGTTGATCCTGTTGTCCAGGAGACATTTGCTACACTGCGACAAGATTCATTGTCCCAACCTCGAATTTCCATAACTCGTCCTGTTTCTCCTGTTAAAAAAAGTTCTGAGGTTTATTTAATCCATTCATACCACAAACAAAGATAAATAATACGAAAAACATTATTTAAAGTAACAAACGAAATAAAGAGCAAGAAACTTTATACGCCCAAAAATTTATATTTTTATCAATATGTTTTTTTTAAGATTTTCCAATTTATGACATTTTTTGTATCTAGATACCGTTACTAAAATATTTTCCAGCAAAAATATCAATTTATGTAAATTAGAAACTAAATTTCGACAAACACACAAAGTCCTCAAATCACATTTATTTGGCCATATGTTCGTCGAATGTCGATACTTTATTGTTAAAGGAAGAAACGAAATAAAGAGCAAAAAACTTTACACACCCCAAAAATATATATTTATTTATTTTTTAAGATTTCCCAATTTATGACATAAAACTGTCTGATTTTTTTTTTTTGTTTCTGGATATCGTTACTAAAATTTTTTTCAGCAAAAATATCAATTTATGTAAATTAGAAACTAAATTTCGACAAGCACACAAAGTCCTCAGATCACATTTATTTGGCAATATATTCCTTTTATAATAGTACAAGTATATTTATCGTAAATTATCGATGTATAGATAAAAATATGGTACGATGCGGTAATACATATTATACTTGGGAATTTTTCAAACAAATTGCAGCAAACTTGGAAATAAAATTACAGAAAACACATTGGGGTTTGATCCCGTAATTCGAAAAAGGGATTTACAATTTGTAGATGATATAAAAAAGATATATGTACTATAAATATATATAGGGTAACACGCTCATTCACGGGATTTAATAACTAAATCCTAGAAAGTAGTCGCAAAATCTTTTTTGTGCAGACAATAGATAAATCGTTAATAACGAAACTAATTAAAAAATATTTAAAAGACTAAGAAGGATTCAATATCTACACTTTATATTGTGATAAAGACGAAGTGTAGTTCATCCACATATACCGGTCGGTATTGTACACCCTTTTAATCTTGGTTTTTTAACGGCCACCTGAATTATTTCATTAAAAGATATAAATCTGGACGGATATTAGGAATCCCTAGTACATGCATGTTTTAGGTCTTATGATTTATATTTTTCATACTTTTTTGCAAATAACATCGTGGATAAACAATCTTATTTGTATTTTATTTATTTCTAAAATTGCATCTCTTTCTTTCTCAATGCAAATTTTCTCTTTTTCTTCTGCTGTTATTCTATTGTTATGACTGCAAATAAACGTCACTTCTTTTTAACTTGCAGGCACAACTGTTGTTTTTGGTGAGAGTCGCTTCCAAAAACTATCATTCTGTTAATAAAAACCATTGCGTGTCACTAAATTTTTTTCCGATCATAGGGAAAAAAACCATCATATTATGAATAAATTTTTTCACCATTCTAGCAGCAGCTAATCATTCTATCATTTTCATAAAATCCAGATTTGGAATTTTTGGTAAGAACAACCAAATTTAAGCCTTATGAAAGAGCCGTCGTGTGCCTGGAAATAAATACGTTAATGGCGTAAGTGTCAGTATTCTTCGACTTTTAGTGCAGTAACTTGATTGGAATCTTTGGCCTATGGTCAGGTAAACTTACTTATGGTAATTTTAATTGCCAAAGTTTGCGACCATCTAGATATAACAAATAAGGTTGACAAGTAAAAATATCGGCTTGTTGGTAGTGGCATTGATATTTGATATTAAGAAAGCTTCTTAACTTCCTGGATTTTCATAGGACCGATTGACGGATTGTGAGAGACATTGTAATATAGATTAAAGTCCTCTGTATCTTAGGAGTAATGTTGACCAACAACCAGCGTTGTTTAATTGGCTGGTTCAAAATTTCTTCTTTTGTTGCTACTGCTTCAAGCAGTATTCGCCCAAGAAATGATGATTTCATAAATTGTACTTTATGCCGTCAACCTTTCCACATGCATGGAAGGTTGCTCATGTAGTGCCTGTGTCGATTCATCCAATAAACATATTACCGCCTATTTCGAAGATAGTTAAGCATATTATAAGGGATGCTATTGTTGAGTTTCTGTATGACAATAAATGTTTAAGTAGTTCTCAGTACGGGTTTCGGCGTAGTTGTAGCACTACGGTTCATCTCTTAAGCCTCACTGATCTAATTCGTGATTCTGATGTTGGTTTTCTTACTGGCCTTGACTTTTGATTCTGTGAATCATACGCATCTGTTCTATAAGTCGAGAGACAAATTTGATTTCTCTCTTTCTTCATGTAGATTGACATTTTACATAGAAGTGCTCAATCTGTCTTTCTTCATGTAGATTGACTTCATCGTATTTTACATAGAAGTGCTCAGTCTGATGTTTATGCTGTTCGGTGTGGTGTCCCACAATGGTCTAAACTTAGTCCTTTGCTTTTTCTTTGCCCTTTTATGTTCTTAAAAGACATTATAGGTTCTGTGTGTGCGGATGACATTCATGTCTTCTATAGAAGTGCAGATCTCTTTGAATTGAAAAATGTGACGAACATTACCTTGCATTTGCTTTCTATGTGGATCTTCTCTAATGGTTTGGCTGTCGATTGGAATAAGACTGAAGCTGTTCATCAGTGTTGGTTCCTTTGTTGCTAATTTTGTGGATGAGTTGTTTAGGTTTAAAAATTGACATCAAGCTTAGCTTTTCAGCTCATGTTGATTCTTTGCTTAGGAGGCTCTTTAGACTCCAATATCACTTGCCTCCTCTTAGTGTTAGGATGATGCTAGCCAGAACCTTTTTAACGTCTCATGTCAAATTTATGGTACGAATGCTTGTTAAATTCTGTGTTCGCAAGCTTGTTAATTCTATTGTTAGATATGTGTTTGGGTTGAGCCAATACGATCGTATCTTGCAGTTTGTTATTATGCTTCTTGGTCTGTCCTTAGAGAAATAAGTGGACTATCACCTGCTTCTCTAGCATTACAGGATTATAATTTAAGTTTAATTCTCCCTTATATAAGTTTGTGTTTTCTAAGTCATATCGGAACCCTCAATTTTTATTTCCAAGAGCTGCCTCAGACACTAAATAATTTTACTTGTTCCATCGACATATAAGGGAAGAGGTGTTTTGAATATTTGTCTGTTCATTGGATTGCTGATTGCAGGTTATTGTTTATTATTTAATTTTAGTTATTGTCTGGGGACTCATTTTTTGTTTGTTTTTTTTTTTTTTTTTCATAGAATTACTTTATTATTTTTAAGTATTTTTTATTGTCGATGATGGTAGCTGCTACATTAGCTCGATTGAAAACATTGATTCGTTGTGGTGTATTGTTATTTTTTTTTTCCACAGCCGTCGTTTGCGCCAACCATCGGTTTAGTGGCAGCTACCATCGGTTTTGATTTCACTGCAGTCTCACTATGATCATTCTGTTTTTCTTCACCAATCTTCGTTATGCTTTCTTCCCATTTGGGCAATTCCAATGGTTCTTGCATTTGCGGCACCTTTTCTCTGGATGCAATATTTTCATTTCTTGTTGGTAGCTCTTCATCAACTGATATTTTTTTCTTCGTTGCCTGTAACTTTGGCTCTTTTGAATTTAACGCGTTATTTCAATGTTAAACTTTCGAGAGACATCAACGGGTACGTTTTCATTTTTTTTTTTCAATAGTTTCTATGTCCTCAACTACTTCCTGCTGAATCCCTAAACTACCCGAAATATTTTCAACACATTTCTTGATGTTCACCTTTTTATGTGCTATTATTACAATACTCCCACTTCTCACTATGCGGTAACAGATTTTGGGAAAATGATAATGACTTGTGTAGTCATCCTGTGTTGTTGAAAACTGCTATCGATGTTTTCTATTCTTGAGAAAATAACTCTTCTAATCTCCTCCCAAAAACCAAATACTGCATCGATTAGTTTAACCGTTATCCCAATATCTGGCGGCTGTGAATGGAATATTGAGGACTTTCTTCCACACTGTTACGGTGAACTTAAGCTGTTCGCCTCAGCTTAATAATCAATATCTAATTGTGGAGTTTCTATGGGTACAAAACCACCTATTCCGTTTAGATCTCTCTCGATATTTTTTATGGCATACCGCACTTCCAAAGCGACTATGCAATCTGAGAATGCAATTTTTTCACATACGTTGGAGATCCCTTTCGTTATTTAAATATTCCTTTCTTTCTTCGGTAAAAGAACTACCTAATTTGGAACATTTTTCCCTAGCTTCCTTAATTAAACCATATTGAGCAATTTTGCCCAGTTCTAAATATAGCGACAAAATATTCTCGCCCAACATCTTTTGATGTTGACTGAAGTCTCCAAAATTCATATTGACGAAATGTATGTTCGCATAAATAAACAAAAAACGAAAGAAGTCACTTTTAACTAGATCGACAGAATCTTTCACTGTATACCTATCACGTCTCCTTTTACGCAACGAAATGATCTATCACTGTCTTTGCTTCAACAGTGCAGCTTTCACGCAGCTACAACCTATAACCTTAACACACTTCACTACTACGAAAATGTGCGCCTATCATGTTATTATTTTTGCATATACTAATAATTTTACGAACACTGAAATTATAGCCTATCACTTCATTTGCGGATAAATCTGCTACTGCGGACTTATCACGTCTGTGTCACCAAACGATAAGCTCGACTCCTAACCTCATTACAATACTGTGTAACCAAGAAGGAATGAGACAATGCCACAAATGATGTTTCTTGTTTCGTGGCTCGAAGGGAGCTCAATTTATTTTCAACATTTTCTTAAAACAAAACCTTACATCTGATACATTTACACATGCACTTACTTATTAATGCTTGCTGTGTCTAAATACATAATGCACCCCACGCACACATTACGCTGCGGGAGAAAGCGGAACGTACCTACTTTGTGATCGACTCTTTCGTATCTTCTACTTATGGCCGTGATATTTATTACATTATTTATTACGGACCATAAACCTAGCATATGGAAAACACATGCAACGTAGGTTCTTTCTAAAACTAAATTACAATCTTCGGCAAAGACAAATACAAATAAGATAAG